ATCTTATGTGGGCATCCCAAGTGCTGAAGGCCTTACAGCCTCTCTGCACACCATGACCAAGTTGGCTTGGTCCAGAGATGCAGGAAAGGTTCTGCATATAGAAATCAATAAATATATCATATAAATAGACTCAAGGTCAGAAATCACCTGATCATCTCAACAGATGTGGAAAAAAAGGGAGATTTTAACAAAAGTCCATGATAAACTCCCAAAAGAAATTAGCAATAAAAGGAATATATCACAATATAAAAGGACTGCACACGACAAACCTGTTGTCAACATTATACTAAATGGAGAAAAACTCAAAAGCATTTCCATTAGTATGAGGAACAAGACAATTTCTCCATTCCATCTTCAATATACTACTTAAAGATTTAGCTGAAGCAATAGGCAAGAAAAGGAAATACAAGGACGCAGATACAAAAGGAAGAAGATCAAGAAGCCCCATTTCCAAATGGTGATTTTGTACATGAGATGCTATAGAGAACCAGGAAACTCTTAGATCTGATAAGGGAAGTGGCAGGACACAAAATTAGCATACAAAACCCAGCAGCCTTCCAATATTCCAATAACAAATAAACCAAGGTGGTGGTGGGGGATCAAGAACAATCCTATTCACAATTGTCTAAAAAAAAAAAAAAAGAAAGAAAGAAAGAAAGAAAGAAAGAAAAGTACCTTGGCATAAACCTAACCAAGGAAAGTAAAAGATTTCTACAATTAAAACTTTAAGTACCCAAGAAAGAAACTGAAGACAACATAGAAGTTGGAAAGATCTCCCATATTAATGGATTAGAATAATTAATATTGTGAAAATGGCACCTTACCAAAAGTAATCTACAAATTCAATGCAACCCTCTTGAAAAAAAAAAAACACAATAAAACCCCCTTAAGATTCAAAAGACCCCAGAAAGCAAAAGCAATTCTGAGCAAAACTAGTAATGCTGAGCCGGGCGGTGGTGGTGCACGCCTTTAATCCCAGCACTGGGGAGGCAGAGGCAGGTGGATCTCTGTGAGTTCGAGGCCAGCCTGGGCTATAGAGTGAGTTCCAGGAAAGGCGCAAAGCTACACAGAGAAACCCTGTTTTGAAAAGCCAACCAACCAAACAACCAAACAAACAAACTAGTAATGCTGGTATTATCATTTCACTTCGTCTTAAGCTACTCCGCTGAGCTGCAGCAAAAAAACCAGCAATGGTCCTGGCACGAAAGCAAATACATAAATCAGTGGAATAAAACAGTAGACTCAGTTCAAGGCCAGTCTGGTCTAAAGAGCGAGTTCCAGGACAGGCTCCAAGGCTACACAGAGAAACCCTGTCTCAAAAACAAAAACCAAAACCAACCAAACAAACAAAAAACCTCAAACAAAAACAAACAAAAAACAGTAGACTCAGACAAGAATCCACACAATTACAGCTATCTGAATTTTGACAAAGATGCCAGGCATACACACCGGAGAAAAACAGCATCTTCAACAAATGTGGTGAGAAAACTGATTATGTACAAGAACAAAAATTAGATCCCTATCTCCCACCCTCTACAAAAAGCAACTTCCCCAAAACCCCCAACAAACAAATCAACTCCACATGTATCAAAGCCCTTAAGACCTGAAACTCTGAAACTGTCATGGAAAAATGAGAGAAAGCACTTTGATGATTTAGGCAGGCAATTACTTGACTAAGGCAGTCAGGAAATAATATCAATAATCAACAAATGGAAGGAATCCTGTGAAACTAAAAAGCACAGCAAGACAAGCAGTTAACTGAATGAAGGGACAGGATATAAAATGGGAGAAAAATCTTTGCTAGCTATACATCTGATATAGGACTACTATATATAATACAGAGAGAATTCAAAAAATGAAACAAGATATCACATAACCTAATCAAACAGTAGGCTAATGAGATGAAGAGAAAGTTCTCAAAAGATGAAATACAAATGGCCAATAAACATGTAAGAAAACCTTCAATGTCATTAGATATCAAATAAATGCAAATTAAGACTATAATATTCCATTTCACCCCAGTCACAACAGAAGTTATAAGAAAACAAATAATAGCAAGTGCAGGTGATTATGTGGAGAGATGGGAACCCTTATCAATTGCTGGACAGGCTGTACACCAGTCCAGTCACTTGGGAAGCCACTAAAGAGGTTTCTCAGAAAGCTAAAAGTGGACACACACACACACACACACACACACACACACGGACAGCAGAAACATTTTAGCCATGAACAAGAATGCAATTATGTTGTTTGCAGGAAGATGGAAGCAACTGGAGATGACTATCAATCCAGTCTTAGAGTGCTAAATATCCCATGATTTTGCTTAATTGTTGAGTGTCAGGTTTTATACAGAATATAACCTCATGCACATATATGTTACATGAAGTAGGAATGAAAACATTTAGGGAAAATAATGGGAAGAATGGGAGAGAAAGGTATGATAGGTGGTTAAGCTCAACATACAATATATACTTGCATCCAGATGTCCTTTTAACCCAGGAACATAAACAGACACAGTGAAAATCTAAAATAGAATGTGTATACACAATATATTGTGATTCAAACATATATATTATATGCACATATAAGCATGTATGGATTTGTCTTAGTTAGGGTTTCTATTGCTACAACGAAACACCATGACCAAAAAGCAAGTTTTGTAGGAAAGGGTGTATTTGGCTTACACTTCCAGAGTCCATCACTGCAGGAAGTCAGAACAGGAACTCAAGCAGAGCTGGAACCTGGAGGCAGGAGCTGATGCAGAGACCATGGAGGGGTGCCGCTTACTGGCTTGCTCCCCATGGCTTGTTCAGCCTGCTTTTTTATAGAACCCAGGACCACCATCCCAGGGATGGCAGCATGCACCTCCCCCACTGATCACTAATTGAGAATATGCCTTACAACTGGATCTCATGGAGGCATTTCCTCAGCTGAGGCTCCTTCCTCTGATGACTCTACCTTGTGTCAGGTTCACATAAAACCAGCTGGTACAGGACCATACACATTTTTTTTATAGTTTGGGTACATAACTGAAATCATATTGCATATGGCCATTAAAATCTTCTGAAGGAAGACTTTGAATGGCTGTAGCAAATTGTTTTCTATGAATACATCATAATTTACTTAGCTTAATGCTACACTTGAAGACATCGCATAAAATTTCCTTCATTAAAATTTCATAAGAGTGCTTATATCTACACAAAGAAATGTGTAGAAATCTCTGAGTACTCTAATAGTTTCCAGGGGAGGAAAAAAAAAAAAAAAAAAAAGAACAAAATCAGGTTATTTGCAAGAAAGTGGATGGAACTAGAGATATCTTGTTAAGTGAACTAAATCTGACCTAGAAAGATAACTATCACCATGTGTTCTCACATATGCAGAATCTGAAGAAAAAATAATGAGGTGACATGAAGTAGAAGGGAAGCTTCTAGGGACACCCTGTGCCCTCTTCTGCAGCCAGCAGGGGACACAGGCACACACATCTGCACATACACAGACAGAGGAGGGGGATGGGTGGGTAAGACAGAGGAAAATACGTGGTAAGTAAAATAAGATGTTTTATATATGAATGGAATTGCCAAAACGAAACCCAGCATTTTGTACAATTTATAAATGCTAAAAAATGTAAAAGTAAGAAGGCGATCCTTCTCCCATAAAATGCTAAAAGTTGGTCTAAAAAGGTTGTCGTACTTACTTATGTATAGTGTGTATCATCTGTGGAAATGGAAAACCTGCTTGGTTTTCCACAGTATTAAACAATCAAAAGTAGGCCGGGCGGTGGTGGCGCACACCTTTAATCCCAGCACTCGGGAGGCAGAGGCAGGCGAATCTCTGTGAGTTCGAGGCCAGCCTGGACTACCAAGTGAGTTCCAGGAAAGGCACAAAGCTACACAGAGAAACCCTGTCTCGAAAAACCAAAAAAAAAAAAAAAAAAAAAAAACAATCAAAAGTATAAGTTCTTAGTAGATCAACCATCAAAGGATCACTAATGGTTTGAAAGTTTCCAGGATACTAATTACTTTTGATGCTTTAAATGTTCTACCATTAAAAATTAAAGATTATTTTTGGTTGTGAGCCTAGCCTTTAACGGCTGAGCCATCTCTCCAGCGGTGGTGGCGCACGCCTTTAATCCCAGCACTCGGGAGGCAGAGGCAGGCGAATCTCTGTGAGTTCGAGGCCAGCCTGGACTACCAAGTGAGTTCCAGGAAAGGCACAAAGCTACACAGAGAAACCCTGTCTCGAAAAACCAAAAAAAAAAAAAAAAAAAAAAATTAAAGATTATTAACATTATAAAAAGAAATTACAATAAAAAGGCAAAACTGTATTTCAAGAAGCATTTTAAAATTCAGTCATCAGGAAAGTAGATTTCACCAGACATGGTCTTCTTATTAATCTATTACTAACATTTTTAAATGAAATGAATGGATTTAAAAAAATAATATGAGCCCTCTTCTGGTCTTCGTGTGTGTGTGTGTGTGTGTGTGTGTGTGTGTGTGTGTGTGTGTGTGTATACACTTAGGTCTTAGTTTGTGAAATGTGTTTTTTTTTTTTTTTGGTTTTTCGAGACAGGGTTTCTCTGTGTAGTTTTGTGCCTTTCCTGGAACTCGCTCTATATAGCCCAGACTGGCCTCGAACTCACAGAGATCCATCCGCCTGCCTCTGCCTCCCGAGTGCTGGGATAAAAGGCGTGCGCCACCACCGCCCGGGTAGTTTGTGAAATGATATGAAGACATTTCTCTTTTTAAAAAAGTTTTATTTTATCTTATGAGTGTGAGTGTTTGGCCTACATGTAATCTGAGCACCGTATGTGTACCTGGTGCCCACCGAGATCAGAGGAAGGCACTGGAGTCCTGGGAACTGGAGTTATGGATGGCTGTGCACCACCACGTGGGCGGTTAGAAACCGAGACCAGGTCCTCTGCAGGAGTGATCAGTGCTTTCCACTGACCGCCACCTCGCCGGCCCTGTTTCTTCATGTGATAAACCCAAAGACAATCCTACCTCTGGGAGGATTTCGTGAACTCTTCTTCTCAAGCAGCCTTTGCTTTGTGACTTCTGTCACTGTAAGAGAAAACACAAAACAAACCACCCTCACTTTAGGAAGTAACAGAAGGGGCGCAGAGACGGCTTAATGGGAAGACAGCTTGCCGAGCAATTATAAGAACTAGAATTTGGGTCTCCACACCCATCCAACAAGCTGGGAATCTTGTGCATGACTGTAATCCCAGCTAAGTAGGGTGGGACAGGAAGATGCCCAAGACTATGCTTCCAGCCTAGATGAGAAAATGTAAGCCCCAGGCTCACCGAGAAACCCTGATTCACAGGAACAGACAGTGATAGAACACTCCATGCTTGCACACAGCTGTGCACAGCACCTGCACGCACACTTAAATATACACTCTTCAATACAAACACAAAGGCACACACAATCTTTTTTTTTTTTTTAAGAATTGGCATAAAATAGTTGGGTGTGGTTGGCACACACCTACAATCCCAGCATTCAAGAGGCTGAAAAAAAAAAAAAAAAAGAGGATTGCTGTGATTTCAAGAAAAGCCTGGGCTACATAATGAATCCAAGGACAGCCTGGGCTATGAACAAACAAACATGGAATATGAACGAATAATTCCTCATTATTTAGAAGAAGCAACTCTTTAGGAAAAAATAATTCAAAGTGATACACACTCTAGGTATCAAGCACAACACAGTGCCCTCTTACTATCTTCCTCTGAAAACAGGCTCAGTATAAAGGAAGTCTGCTAAGCAGTCTCCAGTGAGCAATCTTTTCTTCCACATTCAAGAGGAAGCCATCACACAACATATCCTGATAAAGCACACATGCCTCCTTTTCTAATGAGGTAACAGTACTTCTATCTGGAGAGCTTTGAATATGTGTGATCTATCAGATTGAAACTTGAGAAACATGAGGAGGTTTATCTCTAAAATTACTAATATTAAAATACAGGGGCTGTAGAGATGGCCCAGTGGTTAAGAGTACTGGCTGCTCTTCCAGAGGTCTTAAGGTCATTTCCCAGCACTCACATGGTGGCTCACAATCACCTATAATGGAATCCAATGCCCTCTTCAGGTATGCAGACAGACATGCAGACAAAATACCCATATACATAAAATACACAAATTTTAAAAATCTTTAAAAATACATTAATCTTTCTTACTTAATTCTCTGGTTTTCTCCACTTCTCTTTTTAAGAAACATGGTACTAGGGAAATGCCAATAAGATCTTCAAGTTGTCTGTTGTTCGCCAAAGCCTAAAAGAAAACTATTTTTAGTGAGTTAAGCAAGTTGTCTATGACTAAGAGATTATTTACAAAGGGAATACAATACATTGTATTCTTCATTTAAAAAATCTTAAATTAGGAAATTTGAGTTTTCCTGGTAAATCAAGTATGTCAAGCCCTATCATGACTCAATAATACTAATTATTTTTTGGGTGGTGGTGGTAGAAGTTTGAGACAGAATTTCTCTATGTAGTCTTGGCTGTCCTGGAACTCAATATGTAGACCAGGCTAGCCTCGAACTCAGGAGAGAGATCTGCCAGCTTCTGCCTCCTGAGAGTAGGGATTAAGGGAGTACATCACCATGCTGAATTAAGAGTAGTTTTTTTTTAATTATTATTTTTAAAAGACTTATAAACATGCCAGGTGTGGTGGTATATGCCTTTAATTCTAGCACTTTCGAGGAAGAAATATGTGAATCTTTATTTATTTACTTATTTATTTTGTTTTGTTTTTTGTTTTTTGAGACAGGGTTTCTCCGTGTAGCTTTGCGCCTTTTCCTGGAACTCACTTGGTAGCCCAGGCTGGCTTCGAACTCACAGAGATCCACCTGCCTCTGCCTCCCAAGTGCTGGGATTAAAGGCGTGTGCCACCACCGCCCAGCTTAGGTGGATCTTTGAGGCCAGCCTGCCTGGTCTACATAGTTGAGTTCTAGGAGCCAGAGCTACATAGTGAGACCCTATCTCAAACAAATAAAACAACAACAACAACAACAAAAACCCTTAAACATAATCTAAAACAATATTTTTAAATGAGAAAAAGTCAGCTATTACTAAAATATTATAGATAATCATTATGTATTATAACCAAGGAGATTCCCGTGAGAAATGAATTAAATATATACTCTGCAAACTCTTGACTAGACTGGATTCTCAAATACAAGGCTTCTTTTTTATCCTTTTCAAAACAGATAATGGAGGTCTGAAAATTATATAAGAAAAGTGCAAACCTGTATACTACTTAATTTTTTCATTATCTCCATGGTTTTTTCTGATGATCTCTCAATTTTAGATAGCAACACCATGAATCTAGGCATGAACAGACAAGCATAGTTACTAAGAATAAGCACATAAATGTGTCAGGTCACAGGGCTGTAATTCTAGTCCAAGGGACAGATTCTGGTCTCCAGCCCTTTCTTCACACGTCAAGGAGGTAACATATGTAAATGCTCCCCCTTCATTTTGACATTCCTTTATAAGCACAACACACATTATTAATCATCCTCTCAGAGTCTGCTGGCTCCTGCTTCCATTCCCACCCATCAGTGAGAGGGGAGACTCAGCCGCCTCTCTCCTTCCTGTACACCCTTCCTGAGGTAACACCCCACTGTTCACTTACTATGGTCTGAGACGGCAGGGCCGTGCTGCCTAGGAACTTCGTTCAGTGTGAAAAAGATACAAGAGCAATCTCTTAAATTTGAAATAAAGGGGGGAAAAACTACTTACATTCTACCTTGTGATCTCATTACTACTCAGTAGGTTAGAAATTTTTTCCTTAGGATTTAAACTTTTTTTTGTAAGTTTAAATCAGCTGTTTTCAACCTGTGGGTTGTGATCCCTTTGGGAGTCACATATCAGATATCCTTCGTATCAGATATTTACATTACCATTCTTAACAGTAGCAAAATTACAGTTATGAAGTAGCAACAAAATAATTTTATGGTTGGGGGGTCACTAAACATGAGGAACTATATTAAAGGGTTGCAGCATCAGGAAAGTTGAGAACCATGGGTTTTAAATCATGTTCTCTTTACTTAATATAAATTTATATGGGAGAGGTGAGTGGTTTTTTTTTTTTTTGTTTTGTTTTTGCTTTGTTTTATTTTTGAGAAAAGGTGTTAAAATGTAACTCTGGTTGGTTTGGAAAGGGCTACGTAGCCCAGGCTGGCCTCAAATATGCAGCAATTCTCTTGCTTCTGCTTCTAGAGTTCTGGAATCATGGCATGGCCCACTACACCTGTTTAACTTTTGAGGGAGTGCATACACCATAAATGTACAAAATGTTAAGGGCTGAATATATACCATGGAACAAACAAGGCAAAGGTGACATGATCATTTCTTCATTGTTGCAATTTCAGGTTACATTCTAATTTTGAGATCTCCTCACCATCTAATAATGTATATCAAGTATAACAGCAATGTAAGGTCACAACTATACTCTTCTAGTTGCTTTATTAAAAGGAATAAAAAGAAATAGTTAAAATTTAATAACATTATTTAGCTCAAAATATTCGAAGTATTATTACGTAAACATGTAATTAATATAAAAATTTCTGAGATATATTTATATTTTTCAAGTCTGTATTTACACTGAAACATCTCATTCAGAATAGCCACATTTCAAATGCTTTTTAGCTACATGACTGTTTCAGACAGCACAAATCTGTAGCATTGACTTTATAAGGACCCAGAGAATTTATTTAAAAGCTTTTCAAGATTATATCAGTGTTGACACATTAAAATTTGTTATTAAAGATGAATGATAGGTTAGTTTCCACACACAGCCCACAGTATGTTTAGAGTAAGTAGGACACATGCAATAATAGCAGGAAGGGCTGTGGACATGACGGCATACGCCAAAAGATGAAGGTTATTAGAGGACAGGAGTTAGGGACGATATTTTCTTTAAAAATTTTACTGTATTAATATGAATTTCAATTTGAAGTCATCTATCTTGTGGCCTATTTGCTTCATACTGAAATCTCAGTTTGAGATGGTAGCCCAAATCCTAAAGGAATGGGGACTTTCAGGTCTATGTGGACATGTGGCCAAGGACTGAATGTGGCCAACACAAAATCATAAACTGACATCAAACATGAGTTGTCTTTTTGAATTTTTTTGCAATTTTTATTTTGTAATAATTACACAGTTCTCAAATGTGAACTTTGTAAATACAATGTTATATCATAATACCAAAAGGATAAACAAGTCTAAGGGCCCTCTGAATGCAAAGTGCAGACAGGTACACTACCTTAGTAAAGGGACATCTGTGGTCTTATTTCTTGTTGCTTTTTTCCTGGGAAAATACTGCCGTGCCACACCTCAAAGAAGTGATACTCCTTCTTGTTGACCTTCAGGGAGTGGTGTGGGTAGGGTTGAGCCCTGAGGTCTGCTATCTTAAAAACTATAAGGGTCTCCTCACAAGAGTCAGATGTGCACAAGGCTTCCAGGAACTACACAATGTAATATCCCCAAAAGGACCTAGTACCTTTCCCAAATTAAGCTAGCAATTGAGGAGCTCTGGGTTCAAGTGAGCAAGGCAACTCTGCCCCTACCCCAATATCTATATAGTGGAGAGCAACCAAGATGCCCAATGCCAACCTTTGGCCTCTGCATGCATGCAAGTATGAACATGTATGCATACATACAACATACATATAAAAATTTAAGTTGCTGACATCTTAGAAATAATATCTGTAAACAGCTTATCAGTGGGAACTCTTGTTTGTAGCTATAAAACACCTTCCCCCGCCCCCTGAACTTGTGGTGGTTGTTCTTGCCTGTCAACTTGACTACATCTGGAATTAACTAAAACTCAAATGGCTGGGCACACTCTTTTCTTAATTAAGTAATTTGAAGTGAAAGACCCACTTCTAATCCAGATCTTTGAGGTGAGAGGAGCCACCTTTGGTCTGGGCCACACCTTCTGCCGATGTACAGATGTGGAAAAAGGAAGCTGGCTCTCTTTGTCAGCTTGTTCCAATTCTCCCTGGCAAGCCCATCCCTTCCCTGACATTAGAGCCTACTTCTTTAGGATTCCAGTGGGTACTGAAGACCACCTGAGACATCCAGCCTTGTGGACTGGGTAACTATTGGACCTTATGTTGGTAGACAGCTGGACCACAACCTTAGCCATTCTAATAACCCATATACATACATACATACATACATACATACACATATACAGTATGTATATAACTCCAGAGAATGGAGCTATGTAAGAATATGGCAGTTCTTCAATAAAGAAGTGATTATGAAATTATGAAAAAGATCCTTCTACAAAATGAAGTTTCAGGTCAATGAGATGGCTCAGGGGTTAAAGGTGCTTGCTGCCCAGCTTAATGACCTGAATTTGATCCCTGAACCCACATGTCAGGAGAGATGGACTTTTGCAAGTTGTACTCTGACCTCTGTGTGGAGGGCTATGCACACATGCACATACATACACACACACACACACACACACACACACACACACACACACACGCACGCACGCATGTACACACACATCACACCACACCATACCGCACAGTATAATACAAATATTAAGATAAAAAAGCTTCAAAATAGTCCAGCTTATCATCCCACATTTTCAGTTGGTACTTTGACATCTCAAGGTCATAACAGCTGTTCTACATTTTTGTTTAAGATATTTACTTTTTAAAAAAGATTTACTTATTGATTATGTATACAGTGTTCTGTCTGCATGTGTGCCTGCACGCCAGAAGAGGGAATCAGATCTCATTAGAGATGGTTGTGAGTGGCCATGCTCAGGACCTCTGGAAGAGCAGTCAATGCTCTTCATTTCAAGGCCATCTCTCCAGCCTAAGATATTTACTCTCTTAGCTTCCACACTCAGGCCTGGAATCCATTTGGAGTTGATTTTGTCTTTAGTGTGAGGTAAGGTTCAGATCCAGTTTCCCCATATTATCAGCCCTGTCTTTGTAGAGAATTACCAGTCATTTAGACAGAACACCTCTACTGGGAAGAAAAACAGCCAAACACAAACTTCTATAAAACATCTTAATCCTTAATTCTAATGCTTAGATTCCTGAACATCTTTTAAACACGTTCTTTCTATCTGAGCAGATTAACTCTGAGGATATTCTAGGAAATTACTGATGAAAATTCTCATAAGAAAATGGTATTCTGGGCTTCTGAGATGGCTCAGTGGGCAAAGATGCCTGCTACCAAGCCTGGCAACTTGAGTTCAGTCCTCAGGAGCCGCATGGTAGGACACAATGGATTCCATCAAATTGTCTTCTGACCTGCCCATGTACTTACTCCCTTGCCCTCCCAAATACATGAAATGTAATCAAATTTAAAAGAAAATGGCATTCTTATTATATATCAGTTTCTCTTGAAATTAACTTCCACCTTTATGACTTACCATCACATAGTGAATTTTAAAATGTGTAGAGTGGGGCTGGAGAGGTGGCTCAGGAGTTAAGAGCACTTGCTGCTCTTGCAGAGGACCCGGGTTCAGTCCCCAGCACTCACATGGTAGCTCACAATTGCATGTGACTCCAGTTCTAGGGAATGTGACACCCTCTCCTGACCTCCTCGGGCATCAGGAACACGTGTGGTAAATATACATACATGCAGGTAAAACACTCATACACATAAAATAAAATAAACAAATCTTTAAAAAAACTTAAAATGTGGATAATATAGGTTTAACAGTGAATCTACAATGATTCCAAAATACCAAAGCCTGATGAACATTCTGGAAACAGGCACCCTGAATTTCTTTTTTCCATGCCTGTCTTGACTACATGATATTCGCACAAAGAAAAAAACAATGAGGGAATATTGCTACAATATTTTAAGATAATTTAGAACTAATCCATAAAAGTGTTCCACTTAATTTGAGACTTAAAGAAAAAACAATAGTGGTTTTCTAAAACAGGAAGAGAAATCTTTAAAAAAATTAAAAACGTATCTCAGATAAGAATGAAAAAATTTAAAGTGGAAAAAATAATTTTAAAATGAATTATTTTTATGTATTTCAAAGTATATCCACTTAAATTCAATAATTTTAACACTAAATGGTGTGGTTTTCAGAAACAAATGTTGACAGAAATTAATGAAATGAATTAATGAAATTCTGGCCTCCACTCTTACAGTGAACTTCTATACCTAAAGACAAAACATTTACCATACACATAAAATAAAAATAGATTAATCTTTAAAAAATATTGACAAAAAAGAAAAGAAAAAGTAAAGAGCAAAACACTTGGCTGGGTCGGTGACATGGCTCAGGGGATAAAGGGGTCTGCGGACAAGCCCAAGGGCTTGAGTTCAATCCCTGAGACCACATGATGGAAGGAGAGCACTGAGTCCTGGGGGCTATCCCGTGACCTTGACAGCACACTGTGGCAAATGCTTTCCCTTAACACACATACACACTCACACGCACACACAATAAATAAATAAATGTAATAAAGAATTTTAAAGAGCAACACTTTATAAATACAGCATTGGTGGGGTATGGAAGCAAAGAACATGAACACATTTGATGGCAGGGAGAACGTGGCTAGGGAAGAGAACCCATAAAGCAAGTAAAGAGGTGCTGTCCGAGATGCTAAGCAAGGCTTCCCAGAGGACTTCTTCTTCACTACAGTGTTCTAACCAGCACTCAGTAAGCAGTGCTAGTCACTTATGAAACAAATGACATCTGATCTGATATAAAGTGAAGTTTGGACACACTTAGAGCTCATGGTCTTACGTTGTAAGTTAATATATCCTCCTCAATTTAGAAATGAGTTATGTTGAAAACTGCAGATTCTAACACTATTAGAATGGAAACTGTGAGTTTTGTTGTGGGATATTTTGATTGCACTCTGACATTCCCAAGACTGCCAATAAAGTTGACCTTGACTCAGAGAGCAGTGCTAGCTACTAGCTGACCAAATTAGCCATAGAGGTTGGAGGAGTAAGGACATAGAGAGTCACAGGAAATAGTAGGGAGGGGCTTAGAGAGATATTTGGCCATTTTGGATAGAGGAAGGAGAGAAAAGGAGGTCACTGGTCATTTCTCCACCACTTCTCTGATCAATCAGTTTCTTACCTAGATATCCGATTCCTGAATTTTTATTAATAAAGGATAATTAGACAAATGATTCAGAGTTCCATATAAATGACTTAGAAAACATTGCAATGTAACAAATTTCTAAACTGAGGAGGATATATTAACTTACAACATAACACCATGAGCTCTAAGTGGGTCGAAACATCACCTTATATCCTATGGTACAGCTCACAGAAATCACTTCGTAAATGAGATGAACATATATAAGCCACTTTGAAAATTCAACTCCCCTGACTAATTCAATCATTCCAGGGTGGCATATTTAAATATTATTTCCAGGACACACAGGATTTCTGCAAAATATACTTTCATTCAAAGGCACTGGTGGCAGGCCAATGTGAATATGGTTGGGAGTGGGCTTGTAACCTGGGCTGCTTAGAGCCCTCCTTACAGCACCGCACCATGCTTGCTGTATTCTCCCTTTCTCTCCATGTGGCTGTTAAATGGAGGTGCTGGGGGATGTCTTTCTGGACGCTGTGAATATGTGTTGCTCCCATTCCTAATAAATAAAGCTACACTGGCCTATGGCAGGGCAGGATGGAGCCTGGTGAGAAAATCCAGAGCGACAATGAGAGGAGAAAGGAGAGGAAGGGGAGACGCTGAACCGCTGTCTAAGGAGCAACATGTAATGGGACGCAAGAAAAGCCAGGGAACACGTGGCGATACATAGATGAACAGTTATGGGTTGAGTTAGGATGTAAGAGCTAGCTAGTAAGAAGCTTGAGCCACAGGCCATATAATTTGCAGTTAGTAATTAAGCCTCCGAGTGATTATTTTGTAAGTGGCTGCAGGACCGCAGGGCGGGGCGAGACCATGGGACAGCAGGGTCGAATGGGACCAGAGAAACTTATGGCTACATGGAGGTATTCTTAGTCTGACCCCAAATTGGTCTATAGTCTATACACACCACCCCAGACCTAGGCTCGAGTAATATTAAAATTAAAGTATTATACACGCCCACAACATAAGCACTGTAAGACACCACAAATACTTTCCTTAACAACAAAGAGTTAAAAAAAAGAAAATCATATAAAATAAATAAATGTATAGATCGAATAATCCAGCCCAGTTATAAAGTACTTATTTACAAAAATAAATGATTTTTCTTAAATTGTCACTTTAAAGAAAGTCAAGCTTTTCCTGAATAATATTCAGTGACAGTAACTTCAACACCAAGCTTACTCATCACTGTCTTTGGCTGTGGACTCCTTGCTTGTAGGTGAGCTGAGGTTATTCAGTTTTTTCTTTCCTATATGAGTGAAACAAAGAAAAGAACACAACGTTAAAGAGACAACTGGCCCAATTTTAATCGACTGAATTGCCAAATTTTAGCTCCCTGTAAATCAGCACTTGGAAGACAGAACTGGCAGGACAGAGGCTAGGCTGAGGTGCATCGCCTGATAGCGCTTAGAAAGCAAGCACACAACAGAGAAGACTTTAGACTGCTGACGTTAAACAGGAAGTAGAGGGGAAAACAAAAGGGAAGTAAGAGAGAAAAAAGCATCCCATTTTGTTTTTTCATTTTCTTTCTTAAAAAAAAAATCTTGACCAAAAGTTAATTTCCTGAATTTTGTACTACACTGCGTATACTCAGTAAAGCTCCAAAATAAAATATTAAAATTGCTTCCTTAACTTGTGATTCATTTTCACATTTTAGCCCTAGAAGCCAGTGGCAGCCTAGATTATTTTACTAGTATTTTTAGCAGGTGTCCAATGCCTTTCTAAATATTTTTATTATTGCATAATAATTAACCATATATTAGCCAATATGTGGATCAACAAAAATCTTGGTTTTCTTAGGTCTTTAGATACTTTTCACTTGCTAAATAGGACTTTAAATATCTCCCAAAATAACATTTTTCAGTTGATAGTTCTCTCTTCATTTCATTCTACTTAAAAAGTAAACACAATATATGCCTGGCTTGGTGGGGCACACCTTTAATCCCAGCACTTGGGAGGCAGAGGCAGGTGGATGGATGAGTTCAAGGCCAGCCTGGGCTACAGAGCGAGTTACAGGTAACCAGGGCTACACAGAGAAACCCTGTCTAGAAAAGTCTAAAAAAACAAAAACAAAAAATACTAACCAAAAAGGAACCCAGTATATATTAAAGGAGTATGGAACCACACTGGCATTTTTCTTTCTAGGTTACACACACGTTTTAACAATTGTGTCCTTGACTTTTTTTAAGTGCAGCTTTCCAAAACACTGATTATAAGTGTACTATCACTGAATCTGTACTGCATTCCGAGCTGTATTTGAAGTTTCTGATGGACCAGGAACTAACAAAAAAGCTTTCCGTGGCTAAGACTTGAGAGCACAAGCAACGGCAGCGACGACCATGGTTCACACACGGCACTCGTTAGGGCCAGCCACTGTTTTAAACAAGGCACCAAAATAATGAACCTAAGCTGGGCATGGGGGTGCATGCCTGGAATCCCAGCACTTCGGAGGTGGAGGCAGGAGGACCACAAATTCAAAGTCAGCAAGGGCTGGGCATGACGAAAACAAGAGCTGCTAAAACACGGGAAGAAAAATGGGTACGTACGTGACGGATGAATGGCTTCTAAAATCCCAGCAAGGGTTTGGGTTTCCAGGGTCCGGAAGGGGGCTCAGTGGGTAAAAGTGCTTGTCACACCACCCTGAGGATCTGAGTTCAATCCCGGGAGTCCATGCAAAAGTAGGTGTGGTGGTGCACATGTGTAACCCCAGGACCCCCAGAGGAGACAGGAGGCAGAGAGAGGAGACTCACTCCGAAGCTCCCACGCCAGCTAGCTCGGAGAACACAGCCCAGCAGCAGAAACAAGTGCAACAAGGTGAAAGGCGAGAATTTATGCTCAAAAGCTGCCCTCTGACCTCCACATTCCAACTGTGAGACTTGAACATGCAAAATCTAAGTATAAGGGTTTGGGGTTTATTATCAAGTATAATGAGAAGCAAGTAGAAATAAAATGTTATTTAAATTTCTCATTAGAGTTTGAACAATATTTTAAAAGGGGGAAATAGTAAAGGAGGTCGTGACTTCACCTGAATTTTAAATTACTTTATAAGTTATATTTTCTAACTTGGAACTTATGATATCTGATAATGATTAGGCTTTCTTATTTCTAAAGCATGCAGAAGATTTATTAGGACTGGGAGTATGATTACAAATGACATGATCTAATTCAGGACCTTAAAGTTTTATATGTGATATGTGTGTATGAATATATGTATATACATACATTCATAGATGTGTGTATATATGTATATATATACTCATACACACATATCTACCAGAGTAAATTAAACCTACATGTCCACTTTAATTAATAACTAGAGTGAAACAGTAATCACCACATAAGTCAAAAATTAGAATATTGCCAGCACCTCAGAGACCCCTGCAGTTTGACTTTTTAAAAAAGAGCATACTTAGTACCTATAATGTGATAATTACCCATATAAATGTCAAGTGAGATCATGTGACCAATCTTTTTATGAGCAAAAGGAATGTTCCCTTAAGTCCATATTTAATTTCAATATGGAAATTGAGTATGTATCAATTTAAAATCTATTGAGATTTTCATACAGAGATATGCAATCTCTAAGCTATTATTTTTTAATTAAAAAATATATCAGGTATATAAAACTATAGAACTTGAGAGAAATATATAGATTTTCATAAATTTTCTGAAAACAAATATAATATTAATAGCTTTAGGATAAAAGCATTTGATTAAACTAAAATCAAAGACACTCAAAAACAATATCTTATGTGTTTATTTAAATAAAGTAGGTAAAATGAGACCAATTTCTTCATAGATTCTAGTACATGTCTAACATCCAATAAATGTTAAACAATAAAATATGAATTTGGCTAGTCATAGCATATCTAAAATACATTTTATTAAATTTGAGCATATTTAAAATTTTATATTATAGAAAGTGACATGTCACTGATTCATGACCTTTTACAATATAAAAAAATTAAGCATATGAATTTGAGACTTGTGCCTTTAAATGTAGATCTTAGCAGTAAACTACTAGCGAACAACAAATATGTATGGTCAGAATTAAATGAAGAATATTTTAAAAATAATGATTTTATATAAAAATTAGGTTCTTCTATATGGACAAGTTTTATAGCTGAAATACAATAAGTAAACTATATAAACATATACTAAATGTGGGTAAAGCTAAATGAACAATATGGATAAAAATAACATTTAGAAGTGCCCCTCTTAAACTGCAGCATGGCAGTCCCTGAGTTCTGTGCCCTTTAATTTATGCACATGATGGATAGCTTGTTAAGGGCATATCTACCCATTATAATTGATAGTAGCTGAAGGCAGTCAGGCCATAATTTCTATTTAATGGATGGCATAGGAAGGGAACAGCAGTAGCATTTTAAAATAAGTGCCTACAAAGTTTACATTTATGTCCAAAGTAACATTTACATTCTAGCCTTTTCTATGTTGAATTCCTTGAGAAGAGAGAAAAACCAGCTGCAACAAGAGCTATATATTACTAAATCAAAATCTTGATTTAACCAATAACTAGAAGAATCTTACCATAAGTGGAAAAGAATGTTCAACTAACCATTTGATGGTCCTTTTCCGCGCTCATGTTCTTTGGGGGTTGAGGGAGAAGAAAATGGGCTCATTTGATAAGTTCCAGTTGTTGGAGAATAAGCTGTCATACTTTTCTTCCTTCTGGTTTTTGAAGGACTAAATGACTAGAAATAAATAATAATTTGGAAGAGAAGTACTTACATTTAGTTACAGATCTTTGAAAATACCTTAAGTAACTTAGGAAAATGCAAATTAATACCACTTTTCTTGCTCTTTCTTTCAGATTTTGAATGTATTCATCACTTTCAAAGTGAACATTATTCCTCTCAAATGAGGTAGATATTTCAGAGCCCTACAATAATTAAGGCATCTCAATTTGATATTTATGAAAATTCAACATGAAACCTTACTAACTGCTGATATGTGTCCCAACAGTTTTAGACATGACAGACTAGGAAACTCTTAGGGGTGCTTGTTACTAAGGCCCACAGGAAGTTCTAGGAAAGCTCAGTGCTCTCCTCAGCCTACCCACACCATTCTGTCAGTGTTCTGTGTAGACAAATTTCTAAACAGTCTTACTAAATAAGAAACACAGAGCCAAATACAGGGGTGCAAGCTGTAGAGATCAGAACAATAGCCGCCAAGTAACCTTAGCTCACCACCATGCCATAGCTTCCCAAGAGAGCCCCTTCCTGTCTAACCTGTGCCTTTATTGCCTTCCTGTTCTGCCTTCTCATTGGCTCTAAGCCCAGCCACATCATTTCCTCATCACTGCTTGTCTATACAGACCTCCAGGTCTCTATGGTTGGTACTGGGATTAAAGGTGTGTGTCACCATGCTTGGCTGTGCCCTTGAACACACAGAGACTCTGCCTGCCATATGATCGGATTAAGGGCGTGTGCTACCACCACCTGACCTTTGTTTATGGCTGACTATGACCTCTGATCTCCAGGCAAAGTTTATTTATTAATATACAAATAAAATATCACCACAGTTCTACCTTAAGGATAATCAAATCAGTGTCCAGACAACCCCGTCTGCCACCACTCATGCCCTGGCTGCACACAGCTCCCTGCAGCTTTCTCCTGAGTCTTCTTCTAAGCAGGATGTATTTTGGTAATATTTTACATTTTTGCCTAACCCATCAGAATTTGTTCCTGAAAATATGATTTATCTTTGTAAGCTAGAGAACAAAAACACGTATAAGAAATGAATGACTTAAAAAGAAAGTAGGCCATCCTACTCTACTCAATATACTCATGTGTTCACCAGTTCATTTATGAACACCTACAATTTCCATTAGGAGATTCTGTACACATGGGTCTCAAATCAGGCTATGATCTTAGCTTGGAATGTTATCTCTCATCTTCACCAAGGCTATTCTTGCTTTAGTCTAGGTCTCCAACTCATCATCTACTTTCTCTAAATACCCACTATCACTCTACTGTTGTTCCTCTAAGCCTTGTTTTCCATGATGCTTACTGATCACTTAACTAATGTGTATAAAGAAACGTAATGAGGTGTTAGGAAGATAAATCAGCACAAGACTTGAGTTCAGAGCTCCAGAATCCGAATAGAGCCAGATGAAATAAAACCCATCTGTAATCCCAGTACTCTTATGGCATGATGGTAGATTGTGACAGGAGAATCCCACAAGCATGAGGACCTATGTTCAGATTCCCATAGCCCACATAAAGCCAGACCTGACAGCAGAAATCTGCAATTCTAGTTTTTCTACAGCAAGATGGGAGGCAGAGACAGGAGAGCCTCTGTGGGTCAGCCAGTCTGGCAAACAGTCACCAACAAGGGAATCGGTCTCAAACAAGGTAGAATGTTGTAGAATATTAATTTAACTATGTAAACGTGTGTGGCATTTATGCTTTATTTGTTTAACTATGTAAAGATGTGTTGCATTTGTTTTACTGTGCCTGCCTAAGTAAAACACCTGATTGGTCTAATAAAAAGCTACACAATATAGGGACAGGTGGGGCTGGCGGGCAGAGAGAATAAGGAAGAGGAAGCCAGGCTTGAGAGAAGAGAGAACAATGGAGAAAGAAAGGGAGATGCCTGGGGCCAGCTAGGCAGGCAGCTGCCAGCCAGCCCAGACATGGAGTGGGACATACAGTATTAAAAAATGGTAAAAAGCCCTGAGACAAAATGTAGATGCAGAGAAACAGGGCAATTTAAGTTATAAGAGCTAGCGGGACAAGCATAAGCTAAGGCCGAGCATTCATAACTAACAGTAAGTCCCCGTGTCATGATTTGGGGGCTGTTTGGTGGCCCAAAAGAAAGCCTGCTGCAGTGGAAGGTGAAAACCAATACCCAAAATTGTCCCCTGATTTCTACACTTGTATTGTGGCATGTATGCATGCACATACATACAGACATACATACATACAGACAGCAGACAGACAGACAGACAGACACACACACACAAACACACACAGAGACAGAGACAGAGACAGAGAGACAGAGAGGACTTTAAAAAAAGATAAATTGTTATGGCCTCAGAGTGTCTGCTAGAAGTTATACAAGCCAGAGATGAGGTTTTTAAGTTAGTATATATGTTAGAGAAATTCAGAATGAAAGGAACCATCAAAGTGGACTACAGTAATTGTTCCAGAAAGATTTTTGTGAGCAGGAAAGATGGGGCTGAAATAAGAGAAAAGGCATAAAAGGGAGTTGGGAATGTAGCTCAGTTGGCAAAATGCCGGCCTACCATACACAAAGCCCTGGTTCTAGTCCCTAGCAATGAATAAACTGGGCATGATGGTGAATGCCTATAAATCTCAGCAATTGGGAGGTGGAGGCAAAGGATCAAATGTTCAAGGACATCCTTGGTTACACCGTGAATAGGAGGCCATCTTGAGAATCACAAAATCCTATCTCAAAAAGGAAATAAAAAAGGCACAAGAATCTGAAATCAAGAGTATTGAGTACACAGGATGAACCCCGAGAATAAAGGAAAGGTCCTAAGGCTCAGATACTGTCAAAGCTGTGGAACAACTTGAGCTTGGGAGCTGTCTTCAAATAGTTACATAAATCTCTATGGTCAGCTGTCCTTTAATATACCCAGGGCTGTGTCACCTTTAAAAGTAACCTTGGTATTTGTTTTAGAAACTATGGGACCAAAAATTTTTATAGTTAACATTTTAAATGATATATATTTGTTTGGGTGGAACAAAAGACATTTCTTTCCTATATCCACAATAGCCAAAATTGTAAGCAGTATCTTTTGAAAAAATATCCAACACTTGTACCATTATAGTTATATATCTAGTACAATCCTTCCTGTAGGATGAAAGGGTTTTAAGTCTCTTTATCAGGTAGTTACCATTACCTCTTCATATTGAGTTTTCACCTGTTTATATGTATTCAGTCATAAACTATGACATTTACCCAGGCCCTATTCAACTTCTCCAAGAATTTACTGCCTAGAATGATTTCACTGTGTGTGTACAAGGAATGAAAGTTACTACCCTATTGTACGTTTATGTCCATCTGTTTTCCTATTTTCACCAAAATTTTTTTTATCCAATTGCCAAATGTCTAAACATTGCAACTGTAGATAATATATTTCCTCTTGAAAACAATTCTATAGCTTTCAGGAAAACTCTCTCTCTCTGAGTGTGGGTGAGTGCATGTGTGTGTGAGTGAGTGTGTGTGTGTGTGTGTGTGTGTGTGTGTGTTTCATACCAAGAATTTCCTTCTCTCCTCTTCCCTCTTCTTGGTCACTTTATTCCTTCGAAGGAAAACCGTTTCTAACCACCACACACAGAGAGAAACCCACACTCATCCTCTGCCTGCTCTCTCACGAAAACTCCCTTCAGCAATCACACATCTTAATATACTGGCATATTGTGTGCACAGACTTCCCTAAATGCTCCTTTTCCTCAGTTTTACCATGGTCCTCTGACTTTTAAACTGTCGAGATTCAGCAAAAGCAGGCCTAGGATCCTAAGAACTAAGATCCTAAGATCCACTCTGCCACCTCCAAGCTCCGAGGGACTTACACATCACCTCTGCTAACGGGAAGAGATTAAGAGAGGCTGAGTTACTAATTACGAGGTCAGCAAGGAAGAGTGCCATTTATTGATCCTCTTGGGGGAAAAACCCAAAAGGTGAGAGGATTAGAGTCAGCTGGAAAAGGCAAAGGATTCAGGATGCAAACTAAATGCAGTAGATGCTACACCCACTTCTACAATAATTTATGTCTGCTTAGGATATTTCTGGACACCTTAGAAATATTTACCGCTACCATTACACAAAGAAAGACTGTGTTCTAAAATTTAGTCTGTTATCAGCCCTATTGCTACTACTGTACTTTTTGTTAAAAGGTCAAACCTTTTCTCTTAGCAAAACTAAAATTTGAGCATAGATCTTTCTGCTAAAAAAAAATCAATGTTCTCTCTCTAATTTCCAATAGATAAGGCATTTGCCTTTGATAATCATGAATTGTAGCCTGCTTTGTCTCCTTGTTTAAAGCGTGGTCAACCAAAAAGGTGCCTGCATTCTATTGATTTTGTACCTCTTATAAACAGTCTAGAAAGTACTAACTAAGGATTCTTTTACAGTGAAATATGGGATATAAAATTATTATGAACTATTAGCTGCTATCACCAGGCTACATAAAACAGGTATTCTAGGTATCCAGATAACCAGAAAAGAGCAGCTGAAGGAAAGTCTGTTTTTAGTCTCTTTTTCCTTTTAAAACAGGGTCTTGCTAACCCAGGTTGGTCTTGAACTCATGATCACTCCTCAGCTTCGTCAGTGCTGGGATTACAAGTGTGTCACCATGCCTGGGTGGATACTTATTAATAAGTTTACTCTGGTTGATAAGGTTATTGGAATGTCCCACCTATGATATAATTGTGGCATACTACCAGGACTAGTTTGGAACTTATATTAGGAAACTCTGAAAACCACGAATTGTGTTAGGTGATTTTCATTTTGGATCTACTGTTCATGAGTTGCCTCAATTATCACTCTTACTGGTCCTAGAGACGCTGAGGTTTTGTTGTTGCTTTTACAGTGCCTGCAGGGAACAGAAGGCCTTTGCACTTATCTAGTAATCTTATAGGGGCCCGAGGGAAAGACTAGGAACACACATGCACCCACAGGGAGGGGTGGGCATGGTGGCATACCCCTTTAATCCACGCACTGG